GGCTGGCACACAGGTCCCTCCACCCTCACCCCAGCCAGCCTGCCCTCCGACACTCCCCCCCCAGCCCTGCTCCAGGCTGGCACACAGGTCCCCCCACCCTCACCCCAGCCAGCCTGCCCTCCGACACTCCCCCCCCAGCCCTGCTCCTGGCTGGCACACACCTCCCGTTCCTTCTCCTTCAGCTCAAGCTCTGTCTCCTTCACTTTGTTGACAAACATCTGTCTCATCTCTTCCTCCTTCCTCTGCAGCTCGCTCAGGAACTCCTTCCTCTTTGCCTCATAGGTCTCTTGGAGGCTGTGGAGACCCAAAGGAGAGACCGGAGGTAGAACTGAGGCAGGCAGTCCGAGCAGTCAGGTAGATGCTGGGACAGGGCTCCCACCAGCCTCTTCCTGCAGGCTCACAGGCCTGAGACAGCAAGTGCTGGTGTAACAAGAGTGGCTGAGGCAGCGCAGGCTATCACCTGAAGGGCTGGCTGTCGCCATCACTGTCCTGGAAGCCCATCTCCTCCAACTTGCAGCGCCGATAGAGCTCGTAGTGCCGACTGTGGGTCTGCTCGCGCAGGTCCTCCATGTTCACCCGGATCAGCATCTCCCGCAGCTTCACGAAGTCACAGTGATTCTCATTCTCCACTAGAAGCAGGGGCATGAGAGGCATGAGACAGACATGCACACAGGTGGGGAGGGGGCAGCAGGGCAGTGGTCGGGTGCCCCCAAAGCATCTGGAGGCAGGTGTGCACACGGGCATGGGATGGTAAGACGGGGTGGGGGTGGGGCCTTGGTGGTTCCACAGAGCAGAGCAAACATGCAGATGGCTGGGGGGTACAGCAGACAATGGTTAGGTGCCTCGTGGCTGCATAGCATGAGGTATGCATGGAGTCAGGTGGAGGAACAGCAGGAGAGTGGCCTGGTGCCTCAGAGAGCTCCAAGGGCAGAAGGTTAGCAGGACAGTGGTTAGTGGCCTCAGCTTACAGGGCAAGAGACTGAGCTACAGTCGCAGCTGCGGATGTACTTGCCCGACACTCACCCTGCACCACACCCCAGGGGTACTGCCGTGCTCGAACCAGCTTGTTCCCCACCTTCACCTCCTCTGTGCTGCCCACCACGGCAAAAGGCAGGTGTGCCTGAAAAGGGGTGCAGTTATGTGTGAGCACTGCGCTGGAGCCAGGGACAGACTCTCTTACCACTCCTGCACTCTAGGGAGGGTCTGCAGGCCTTTGACAAGGCTGGCTTCCTGTATCTTTCAGAGAACTGTTGAGAACTGGGTATGCCTGTGTGTGGGGTCCTCTTCTCAGGAAGACAGGAGCTCTCTGACAAAGACTGTAAGCCTGGTTCCTTCCAGATTCCCACCCCCTGGCCATGCATCTCCTCACTCCTTCATGCAATACATTCCCACCCAGAGTAGGACTTGAGACACTCAGATCTAGGGGACCCTTAGTGCAAATCCAGTTAACAAGTCCTCTAATCCCACTCCCACACGATCCCCGGGAGGGATGTGACCCCCGCCCCTCTGGGCTGGAGAAGCTAAGGATAACATTCTGAAAAGTAGGATCTCCAGGGGCTGTGTTTCATTCAGATATTCAGATTGGTGTCTCTAAGCCCTCTGGCTCTGGAGCCCGGAGACCCTGCCCCCTCCCCCACTCACGTTCATGACTGCATTAATCTCGGCAACAGCCTCGTCATCGGTGGGAAACTGGTAGATCTGGACTCCATTGCTGACCAGCTCACCCATGATCTTGATCTTGAACTTGTGGAGCTCGCTCTTGGAGATGGTGTCAGCCTTGGCAATGATGGGAATGATGTTCACCTGAAGGTCAGGGTGAAGGTCAGGGGACGGGCAGCAGGTCGGTTGGTTATTTTAAGGGATGCTCACCAAGTGTGGACAAGCAGAAATCCAGGAAGACAGAGGCTCCCAGTGAGCCACAGCCACCTGTGGCCATGGTGATGGCTAGAACTGTAAGAATGGCCATGTCTCTAAAGGGCCTGCAGTTTGGTCACCCTGGGCATACTCAACTTGGACCCAGGATGCTCTGAAGGTCTTAAGTGGCCTGGGGCCTGACAGAAACAATAGTGGTGACCAAGCTACCCACTAAGCAGGTAAGGTGACGTAGGAGTAGCAGCTATGGGAAGGGCTTAAACTCTCCCAGGCCAAGGTTACCCCATATTTCATGGTGATAATTAACCCCTGGGATAGAAAGGTAGTCACAAGGGCTGGCTGAGAGATCACTAGGAGGGGGACTTGTCCTCCAGGACCCCAACCTCCCTTGACCTCCTATGAAACTGCCCTCTGCCCTCACTCGGAATCTAATTCTGAGTCGTCATTCTCCTCTCCTCGTGAGTTCAGAAGACAGCTGAGGGGAAGCCATGTCAGAAAGGGGCTGAGATGGAAGGGGACACTGAGCAGAGGGCCTGTGGGAGGAGGTAGTCACAAGGAACAAGGAGCGAGGCTCCAAATGAGAAGGGCTTAGGGCCAGCCTGGAACAGGCTGAAAAGTTCAATGAAGACCACGGAGAGCCAAGACTCCAGAGAGGACCAAGCTGACCACGGCATAGCCAAACACAGCCATCATACCAGCTTCCAGAAGAAGATGGCAGAGGTCAGGTCACAAGGAAGGGCATGTACCTTGCTATCTAGTTTCTTCATGGTCACCAGATCCAGGGACTTCAGGGAGTGCCCAGTGGGCGTGATAAAGTAGAGGCAAACGTGGATCCTCGTGTCGTGGTAGTCAAAGAGGGATCGGCGGATCTTCAACTCCTCCTGTAGATAGTTTTCAAACTGCGCGTCGATGTAATCAACTATGGGCCTGTAACTACAAACAGCTTCATCACCTGGGAGGCAGACACTGGCTGCAGCCAGGGCAGTGCAGAGCCCAAGCTAGGCTGTTCCCACTCTCCTCCCCAAGAACAGCTTTGCCCTATCAGGTATAGAAGGCTGGTTGACCCCTTCTCCTAAAGCCTTCCAGAGGAAGAACAGGTCTGCTAATGGCCCAAGACCTCAGCCCTTCCCCAGTATCCTTCCCAGGTCACCTTAGGGCTATATATGGAGCAGTTTGAAGCACGAAGTGCTGGAGAAGAGTTAGGACAGGGGTCAGCCAACACTGAGGAGGCTAGGTGGGGCCCGCCCTTCCCGCCTCTTGCCTGTCATCCTTATTGATCTGATCCCCAAAGCCCACAGCATCCACGATGGTCAGTTTGAGATGAACATTACTCTCTTGGAGGTCGTAGGTCTGAGGCCGCAGGCGCACACACTCCTCGTGGTGACTAGCTTCTTCAGTCTCAAAGGTCGTGTTGAAGAGCGTGTTCATTAGCGTAGACTTGCCAATCCCAGTTTCCCCTAGTGTGGGGGACAGTAGGGAGAGACATGAGGACTAAGGTAAAACAAGGCTGTCTCTAGCTGGCAACTAGGTGAGGTGGGCTCTAAGACCCTTAGCTCCTGAATGAGAGAAGGGAAGCCTCCTGCTCCACTCCTCATTGCCCATCCTTGGTGGTCTCTGCCGGTTGCTCAGTTGTAGAGTACTTTTTTTTTTTTTTTGGTTTTTCGAGACAGGGTTTCTCTGTGTAGCCCTGGCTGTCCTGGAACTCACTCTGTAGACCAGGCTGGCCTTGAACTCAGAAATCCGCCTGCCTCTGCCTCCCAAGTGCTGGGATTAAAGGCATGTGCCCAGCTAGTTGTAGAGTACTTGCCTGGCATGTATAAGGCCCTGGGGCTCCATCCTAGCACATGCTGACAGACAGACAGACAGACAGACACACACACACACACACACACACACACACACACACACAAAACCAGGTCTGTGAGATGGCTCAGAGGGTAAAGACACTTGCTGCCAGGCCCGGTAACACAAGTTTGTTCCGGGGGATGCACACGGTAGGAGGAGAGAAGCAACTGCTCAACTTGCCCTGTCATGGGCTCCTCAAATAAAATGAATAAATGTGTTAAAAAAAATAGAAGAGGGAGAAGGAAGGAAAATAGAAAGAAAAAAACAATATTCAGAAGGAAGAGTCATAAAGGAAGCCTTTGATGTAAGACATACTGCACAAGGCATGTGGCATTTCCCCAAGAGGTGGGGAAGGCAGCATCAGGCTATGGAGATTCTACCGTATGCTGGCTTCAAAGGGACCTAGTCACAAAACATATAGCCTGTTCTGGGCATCATCCTTCTTAGGCCAAGGCAGTCATAGGTCCACAGGAACAGGACCTGAAACCATCAGTTGCTGGTCCCTGTAGCCTGGGCAGCCTCAGGTCCACATGGTCTCCTTCCCAAGGGATACCTTCAGACGGCTTTGCGGAGTCTTTGTGCCTTGGACACATGGAGCCCCACTCCCACCCCCATCCAGCTGTGTTTGCTCCAAAGTGTATGTATTAGAGAGGTACTCTGTGGTCTGGTGTCAGAGCAGGGTCTGGCTCACCACTGTATCCTTGCCACATGGTAAGAAGGAGAAATTCTTTAAAGATTTGTTTTTATTTATGTGAGCATGTGCCTATGGAGGCCAGAAGAAGCTGTCAGGTTCCTTGGAACTTGAGCTATAAGCTGACGTTGGTGCTAGGAACAGATGTCCAGTCCTCTGGAAAAGCAGCAGGTGCTCTTACCCACTGGATCATCTCTGTAGCCTTGTGAATTTTTTTAAATTTGTTTATTTTTCTTATTTAGATTTATTTTATGTGTCTGGGTGTTTGCCTGCATGCACAGATATGTGCACCACATGCATGCCTGCTACGATGGGTCCCCTGGAACTGAAGGTAAAGACAGGTATGAGATGCCATATAGGTGCAGGGGATTGAACCTGGGTCTTCTAGAAAAGCAGCTAGTGCTCTTAACCACGGAGCCATCTCTCCAGCCCTGAATTTTTTTTTAAATAAAGGAAATGAATGAACTAGTGACAGTGATTCTCTAATGATAAACACCCTTTTTTAGTGTTTAGACAGCACTTTCATAGGCTCATTTCTGTTTCCTCTTTGTGGCAACTCTGAGTCAGATCCTGGACCTAATCCCATTCTTGACCCTGGCAAAGGCAAAACCAAAGCCTGGATCCAAGATTTCCCTCTGCTTGGGAACCTCTAGCCCCAGCCCCAGCCCCAGCCCCAGCCCCCGCCCCCAGCCCCCAGCCCCAGCCCCAGCCCCAGCCCCAGCCCCAGCCCCAGCCCCAGCTTGATAGGTAGCCAGCACAGCAGAGCACCGGCTCCAAGAAGTCTCACCCACCTTCTGCCATTGACCAGACCACTTACCCACACAGAGAATGTTGAAGCTGAAGCCCTGAGTGACTGACTTGCTGACCAGCTGGTCAGGGAGGCTGTCGAACCCCACATGGCCACCCAGGGACAGGCTCCGGGGCTCAGGCTCTGCATTCTGCCAAGAAAAAACACAGCAAGACAGTGAGCCCCCAGGAAAAGATGTGTCTCCGTGAGACTAGCCTTGACCCTGGTGCCTGTGTTCTCAGCACAGCCCAGGACACACCTCGAAGTGTCCAGGATTCCAACACCATGCCACATTCCTACAGAGGGGTCCCTGAGCCCCCCACCTTGAACTTGGTATCCCATTGTCTGGTTTCCAAAAAGTGTTCAGATGATGAGCGTGTGCCACCACACCCAGCTCCCTGGTCTTAGTCGTTAAAAAGGAACTCATGTAGTCCAAAATAGCCTTGAATTTGCTCTGTAGCCAAGAATGGCATTCAGCTTCCAATCTCTGCTTCCACCACCTTCGTGCTGATATTACAGGCATGCAGCTCATGCCTGGTTGATGTGTTACTAGGGACCCAGGGCTTTATGCATGTTAGGTAAGCACTCTGCCAGTTCAGCTAGATCCCGAGCCCTCCTCTGTATCTTAAATAGCCCAAGAGGCCCAGGTTGGAGAGTGTATATTCCAGCAGGCAGTTCTGAGGAGGGTGGGAATGTTGCCACTCCCTCATAGGCCTTTCTTTCCCAGTCCCTCCTAACTGAGTGCCTCGGAGGGCTCTCCTGTCAGCTGGGTTGGTGATCCTCTGCAGCTGCTTCCCACTGCTCCAGAATCCAACATGGAGTTCTTGCAGGGACCTAATGAGGAGAACCAAGATTCCTAAGGATGGAGCCAAAACTGGGGCTCAAACAGGCTTCTGCTTCCTTCTCAGTGGTGGTCTCAGGAGACATCAGGCTCTTACCAAAGCCATGGCTGTTTAAAAAGGAGATTCTGGGAGAGAGTGTGGGGGCCTGACCTCAGCAGAGATGAGGGTGCAGGTCCTGAGTGTGCAAGAGCCACTGGATTTGGTCTGCACCACTAAGAGAAATGATAAAGCCCAAAGACAGAGTCACGGCCGGACTCACCTATGTGGACACTTGCTCTGGCTTCCCTGGCAGTGGTAGTAGATGTTGCCCTGAAAATAGGTTCCAGGCCCACAGGGCTCCATGTTGGGCAGAACCATGCCTCTTTCTCAGTGCCTATGCCCTACTCACCACCGGGGACAGGAAGATGCACAGGGCTTCAGTCTCCCATGTCCACAGCTCCGAAGTGGAGCTCTCAGCGGTGTCATGGCAACCCTTTTGTAAATATGGACACAACACTGTGTGGGTAAAGGAGTCAGGGGCAGATAGGAGGCCCTGTGGCTTCTGCTACCCAAGAGCCTCCTCAGCACCTGGACACCCACCCTCTGCAGCCACACCCTGTACCTCTCTAGCCAGTCTGGCCTCTGGCACAAAAAACCCAACCTGCCTTAGGCTATTTACCCCTGTATCAATCATGCCTACCTATGTCTATAAGCATCCTAGATTTTATGTGACCTTTCTACCCATTTCAAATAAGCCAGGTTTGCCCTAAACCTGTTTTCTCCAAAGACTCTTGTTGGAACCTATTTTTCGTAATAACCCTTCCTCCTTACTGCCATCCCCAGGGCATCATGTCTCAGTCTCCCCACTCAGGACAAGTCCCCTCAGGGCTGCATACGTAACCTGACAAAGGGCCACCAGGCAGCTCTCTTTTCTTCATGCCCACATCACAAACAACAGAGCTACACTGGACCTTCCCCCACCCACTGGTTACTTCTAAACTCCAGTGTGTGTGTGTGTGTGTGTGTGTGTGTGTGTGTGTGTGTGTGTGTGTTGGGGTGAGGAGGGTGTTCGGTTTTGGTTTGAGACAGGCTCACGCTGGTTTTGAACTTGCTGTACCAAGAATGACTTTGAACTCTAACTCTCTTGCGTCCATCTCCCAGTGTTGGAATCACAGGCACTTGCTGCCCTACCTAGTTTCATGTGGTGCTGGAGATCAAACCGAAGGCTTTGTGCATGCTAGGTGAGCATACTGCCAACTGAGGTGTTTCGTTCCTGTGTTCCCCCTTCTTTTACATTCATTTCATTCATTTGTTTATCTACTTACTTACTGACTTATTATTTATTGGGTGTGGGGCTCGCACATGTGACAAAGCTCCTGTAGGGGTTACAGGACAGCTCATCAGTTTCCGCTTCCACCTTATGGATTCCAGGGACTGAATTTAAGGCAGCAGCCTTGACGGCAAGTGCCTCTACCCACTAAGCCATCTCTCAGCCCCAAAGTCCACCTTTTAAGCTCAGCAGCTTCCCTGAACTCCCGGGCTCTGGGGGTGGGGCTGGGGGTGTCTCCATCTCTGTCCTCTTGCTGGTACCTGTCCCTAGCTGGCCCCTACACCGCACAGCAGGCCATCCCAGACAGTGGTCCTGTTTCCTGGCACCAATCCTTAACATTTTATGCATCCTGGTTGGCCACCTCTTCCCCCACTTCAGAAAGATTGCCATGGGATGGGGAAGCCATGCTCCCTATGCTTCCCCCACTCGCCGGCCATGACACCACTGCCCATTTTTAAGTTCATGAACACCATCTTCAACTACTGCCACACGAAAGGTGTCACCTGCCCACCTCACACAGGACTTCGTTATTCAGTCTTCCTTCCTGCTTGTGGCAGCCTGCAGATCAAATGCAGGACAGAACAGTCTGAAGCTTATTTTTAGGTGAGAACGAAAATCTCTAAAATTGAAGGCGAGAAGGCTTGCCGAGAAGGCTGCATATTTATTCATGTTCTCGGTCCAAGGGTGACACAATCAGGATGCAATCCAACATCCTGTAGTCTGCCGCCAAAACTGACCAAGTCAATTGTGTCTGGAAAAACACACACACACACCTCAGCAGAGAACTTGAAAGAGAAAGAGAGAGGAAGTGGGGAGGGAAAAAGAGAGAGAGAGAGAGAGAGAGAGAGAGAGAGAGAGAG